AGCTTTATACATTATAAATTGTAACTGACTTATATTATAGGTACCCTAGAAATTCCTAATATTTTCAAAAAAATTATAAAACTATAAGGAGGTATATATTTCAGTATACTACTTGTAGACTGTAGTAACTAAAATAAGATATTTGCTTATTTTATAATATAATTATGTTGGGAAATTGATTCATATTATCTATTACATTTTGTTTCAATTTTGATATTTGTTCCAGAATATTATTTGTTTATTTAATTTTATAAAACACTAATATACTAGTAATTTAATAGAAAATTATTATAATATACTATCTAGTGACCGCATGAGTATAGCTAGTCACGAATTCATGATTGAATACCAAGAGCTATGATAAAAAAATCCTATTAAATTTAGAAAATGTAAAAAAAATATGATAATCATTAATTTTATTATTCTGTGTTAACTTTTCTTTAGTCAAAAATATTAACGCCTCTTAAAAAAAAAATATTCAAGTGTTAAGATATTTTTAATTTTCAACCAAAAAAAGGATTAAAAATAAACTTTATCTATCTAATAAACATTTTATGAAATCATCAACCTTAGATACTTATATAAATTTTTCATGCTAATTATACAAATTAAAAATCTGAGTTTATATTTTATACTGAACTTCTACGCTACAATGATAATACGTAATTAATATAATTGTATGGATATAGTAGTTTATATTATGTTATTCTTACTCTTTATCTATACACACAAATTATGTTTTTTTATTTTTATATAACATAACGGTAAACTACCTATCAATCATGCACAACAAAATTGGAATATTATTTCCGTAATAAAGAATATTATTATTATTAAATTTATCTTAAGAATAATAGCAAAAGTAATTTAATTTTTATTGACTATTATAAAATTTTAAAATATTTTTCGGGATTAACTTGCATTAGTAATTTATTGCCCATTAGGTTTAGTGGCCATTTTAATTCTGTGTAAATAATTAGATTTACTGTTAGAAACGTGAACGAAGAAACTACTCATTATGATACAAGTATATTAGACATATCATTAAGAAGTTGTTCAACTCTACATGATACAAAATATAAACCCACGTATTATAGTAACTGTAACAAACCTTTTATAAATATATATAGACAATAATAGTGGATAAAAATGTATTAATTAATTATATGTTTTGCTTAAACTAAAATATTAAGTATCAAAATACAGTTGTATCTAAGAGTTATTTTTATTCTAACTTTAAAATTATTAAAAAATATTAAAATAATTATTATCTTACGAAATTTCTATAATTTTCTTTGATATCTTATGAATGATATTGTAAGTAATTTACTTTTTCTGTATTATATAATTTATCGTAGTCATAATGCTATTTTTTTAGTCATAAAGTTAGTTTAACTCATCACTTATATCACAAATTAAAAAATATACGTTTTTCTTTTTTAAAGCTCATAACATTTAGAATTAGTTTTTACAGATAAACGATAGTATTTATTTTTTCATGTGTGAGTTTAATAAATTTCTTCATTATTCTAAATTACTATAATACAAATAAATACAACATACTTATCTCAGAAACATAAAAAAAATAAATTTTACAAAAAGAACTGGAAAATATATAAAAAATATCATATTTAATAACGTAGTCGAAAAATGTATAAATATTAAACTTTTTGGTCGGAAAAAATAACACGAAAAAAAAATCTATTACCTCAACATACGTCGAAATAAAATGTTGATATTTCTATATTTTTAATGAAAAAAATAAATATTTTTTCCAGACAAACATCAAGAATAATAATATTTCAAACTCATTTTTTTGAAAAAATATACGAATGTACTAAACATCGATATACAAACACATGCATTTCTAAACTCACCGAATGAATAGAAACGATATTGTAAATTATATAATTTTTACACATTATGTTCGTGTACACTATATTGCTCGATAGATCGTAAATGTTTATTACTCTTGTCAACTATAGACGGGTTTGTGCTCAAATATGAACACAAACTTATAGTGTTTATGATCATACATTCATACACAATGGCCTGATGTAACAAAATAATTCATAAATATTTTTATTTTTATTTCAAATATTTAATAAGTATACAGAACATTAATATTAGCTTGTGTGATATTTAGCATAATAGAATGCAGTTATGTATGACGTTGATATGCCTAACTATAGTTATAATAATTCATATTATAGGTAGAGACTAGAAACTATTATCGAAATGTTTAAGATACTCTTATTTACTATTTATTATGTATTAATAATATTAATGATCATAATTGTCAAAATTATAATTGACTCTAAATTGAGAATCATTTGGCTATCTTGTAATAATGAAATTAATAGGTACCCACAATAGAAAAAAAATTAACTCTTAACAAGTTAAGTGTTACGCAGTAGGTATTGACATATACCTAGCATCAAGACTTGTCCATTATCAACGACAATCGTAAAGTTCCTAACGTGTCAACACCATGCAGTCTGCAGACTACAAAATAATATGATTTTTGTATAATTGCCATTTACTAAGGATTCCTATATAGGAAATATTATATTAATATTTAAATAACATGAGAATTGAGATTCTATAAAACTATTTACCATTTTTTTTTCATTAAATTATAAAAATATAAAAATTATTTCTAATAAATGTATACATTTAACATATTTTAACTACTTAACGAAGTGTAAGTTATGAACTAAAAAAAAGTACGAATGTTATATTTGTAGATTAAAAATATACAAATAACTACGCTCAGTAACAGTTTATTATACATTTTATTTTTATAATTAATATATTCTATATTTACATAAATATATAGTTAACTTCTTTTTTTTTAATAAGTAGATGTGTGTGTGTGTTATTAGTATTGTTACCTACTAAAATTAAAATTAAGTGGAAAGGTGAAATTTCTAATGTTTATACCGTTTACCTTAACTACTTGGTGCCTATTGAACTTAAAGTCTATAAGTATTTCTCTGTTTTGTTATATGATACACCGATATAATGAATCGACAAGATTGAAATGATAAGAAATATTATAAAAAGTAGGAAGTTCCGTCATTTTATAATTAAATAGTTGTGTCTGAATATTCAATAACTTTTCTAAAACATTATTCTTTTTCAAGATCAACTCAACAATTGCTTTACAATTGACACAAAAAATGAAATCGTAAAAAATATCCATTCATTGTGTCTAACGTGTTTAACATTTACCTATTATATAATATAACAAAATATATCTACATAATAAATACTGCAATATGTTATTAATTATGAATTTTTAAACATTTTTTTTTTTTACGATTATGATAATATCGTGATGAATTCTTTAAAAGACATCTCTGAAATAATAGAAGACCTTCAAAAAAAATCTTCGTGACCTTAATAATAAATTGATAATACTTTGCTAATACTTTGTTAAATTATTTATAAAAACATTTTAGTATTAAAAAAAAAAAAATAAATCTACTTAGTGAATTTAGAAATAATGTCATATTTTCACCTATCGTATACTGATAGTCATGATCTATACACATACAATGTGTAATAAAATATTATTCATTCCTGGCCGATATAATTGTTTAAATGAATTCAATATATTGATAACAAATTGTTATATTGTTAAACAAAAAAAATATATAATTAAAATAATCAGTTTATATGTTTATATAATATAATATAGGTAACATACTATCAAGATTCATTTCTTAGTAATCGTTTAAAAGTACAATGTTTTGTTGTTTTAAAAACAATTTTTGATTGTTATGAGGTATCTCATATTGTTCCAAAATTGGTCTTAGAAAACCGAGGATTCAGGCCATGGCCTTTGCTTTACTTATGAATATATAATCTATTATGAATATCAAAATTAATTAATTTAATATAATAATATACTAAGAATAGAAACGTATATAATAAATACCTATAAGTGTAATAAATATATCTAGCTATAGGTTGAGAACTTAAAGTGCTTTGAAAACCCCACTGTGAAATAAACTCAATAAAACCATAGACTTTTTTAGTAAAACAGTAATAGGTGCAGTTTACCTACATTTATACGCTCTCAAATATTGGAGCACGTCAAAAACACACACACGAATCTCGTTCATCATTCAGTCCGTATATTGTCTTGGAAATGTCTGTTGCATCACGTGCCACACGCGTAGACCACTGTGGCGCTGTATGCCCGAAATTGGAATGACTCGACCTGTTACGGTTCTTTTATTTGTATAATATATGTATTAAAGTCTTCCTGTGGTTTAATCAGATGATTTATATGCAATTTTGTTTCTTAATAGTCTGTGCGACCTTGCTAATAAAAGTGATAACAATATCAATAACGTTGTTGGTTATTGTAATACGTTTGCAATAGGTATAACACCTCTCTTTCACGTGATCTATTTGGTTTAAACATTAACGCAACTCGCGTTAATATTACATAGGTACGTGTACATGAAACATAATAATTCAAATTTCTAACAGTTTACGATGTTCGATTGTTCGTTATCAGTTATCACTTCATCTGTTATGTAAATAAAATAAAAACGTATTTACGTGGGACGTTCGTCCAATTACACGGGAAAATCATAAATACGCCTCTTCGGATTAAGATTTATGTAACGTAGAATGCAATGTAATAGGTATATCTACTCGTTTATAGCTAAGCCAACTTTTTTTATAACCCGGGTATAGTTTTTACTATTATACCCGTAATATTTATCTATTAAGGTGTACAATTTTGACCTACATGATCACCGTACACACACAAATTACATTCACATCTGTCATCTGCAGCATCGACTTATCATACCAATATACCATGATATAAACGTTCAAAGATTGTTCAACAAAAGTAGTATTCAAAATATTGAAATAAAAAATTATTTAATATGTAAAAGAAAATATATTTATTAATAATATTAATATTATATTCGTCGAAAATCTTATGAAAATTCACAATAAATAAAATATATAAAACCATAGATATTGCTACAATATTTTACTTATATTATAGAAGGATCGTTGATGCATAGCTGTACCTATATTATACACGTTTCTTGCCATGGTAACTCTGGTATTGGTTTAATGCTCGCACATGGTGATGCTGGTGTAGCGGCAGAACCATCGCGCCGATGCTATGTCTTCACTCATGGGTAATAAGCGTACGGTGAAGCGAAAGTCTTGGAAACGTACGGGTAAGTAGCGTAAGACGACACGGCGCCGTACGGGTGATGAGAAGCGACGTACCGCGCGGCGGCGTACGGGGAAGCTACATAGGGCGATGCCACGTACGGCGAAGCAACGTACGGCGAGGCTAAGTATGGTGAGGCCACGTATGGCGATGCGGCGTACGGGGCGGCCAGGTAAGGCGAAGCGTGCAGACCACGTTTGTTGCGGTCTCCGGCGGCGGCAGGGGCGGCTGATTGAGACGACTGTTTTGCTGACTGTTCGGCGGCGTAGGCAGAGACGAAGCACATGACGACGGCGAGTAGAGCGAAAGATACCTGTGGAATCACAAAGAATTAGATGCAATTCTGACACGTTTTCAAATCCGTAAAATCGTAAATTATGTCATTGCAACAAAGTTCCAGCTCATTAACGTGCGTCACTAAAAAATAAACGTGTCTCGTCCAAACAGGATTTATTAATTATAGATGACGCATCGAAGAAGTTTTTATGACGTAAATTTGGACATACCATTGGTCGATTAGCGATTTTGACACGGCAAACAACATTTTTAATAAGAAATTTGTATAGGCATCATGTTATTACGATATGATGATAGTCAAAATTCGGATTAAATCAAAAAGGTTGAAATCAGTTTCATGCGTGCTTATAAAAACTAAATTTCTGTATATTATATTTTTTAATTTATACTTATAGTTTGATTTTTTACAATTTAACTTAAAAACAATCATTACATGTTTTTTTTCATGGTTTAATAAGATTTTTCACCAGTATTTACTTCAAAACATTTATTTTACTCTAAAACATGCATTTTATTTTTCGAATATAATATAATCTACCTACTTAACGAATACTTGTAAATTAACACTTACTTGGAATTTCATTTTGATTATGTTCGTTGTTAGTTGATTGCTGTTTAGTTGTATGACTTGAGAAGCTTGTGTATCTGCTAGAGAAAAATGATGAACTGATTAACTTAAGTCCAATCAGTCGTTTTATATAGTAAAATTCGACCATGTAACGCCCAATTGTCATTCAGAGTACAATATTCCTCGTCCTAGTTACCACACATCAGTTTTGATGCCAATAAATAACAATTGAATTATAATGTTTTTATACAGTAGGTAGCACAATCGGTTTTTTTATATCTCTTTTAAAATCACCACCCTTTTCAATATATACTTACTTACCAGGTATAATTGACAAATAGTATCCTTAAGTATCCTTGACGACGAAGAGGGTTTTGTAATTCTATATATGGATGACCCTATGTCTATACATCATCGTTTATTGAAAATTTTTATTTATTATTTGAATGAATTATGCATATATTATGACAATACACATATTATCAATGTAAGAAATAAATTGTATACAGGCCTTGATCATAATATTACAGTTGACCTCAGTACTAGATTTTATTCGGTTGTCGGAAACTAAACCAACTACGGCCTACGAAGACATGCGAGACGAATGTAAATCATCAAATCAAAAATAAGTTCCTACAATATATTATAAAAAATTAATCATTTCTAAAAAAAATTCTAATATACACTGAAATTTAAGTATAATATACTCCTTATCAACAATCCAAGTAACGAAAATAAATACAAACAAATTAGTGCTTAATATAATTTAACTTAGGCCTCTATTTAAGTGGTCTAATTATAGCATGTGTAAATTATTTTTATTATTTTAAATTATTGAATTGGTAGTTAAATTAATATTAATACCTATTGATAATATTATAGTTGAACATCAATTATTTTAGTTATTATATATTACCTGTTTACCTATTGTTGAATTTAAATTTACATAATTTAATTTGTTTTAAATATTCATTAAATAGATGAAATTGTATTTTATAAATATACAATAAACATGTAAATTATGGACCTACATATTATTAGAGTTATTATACTTTAGGCTTATTAGACAATAACACACACAAACATTATTTTCAATTAAAGAAAATACTAATTTTATTGGAAATGATTGTTTTCCTATTGAAAGTTTACTACATTTTGTTAATAAATATTTCATATGATGTTTACATTTATTCAGATATTCCCACATTAGTCTCGTTAAATATTAATTCATATTTCCACTAATTAGTGAATTTACTATGACGTTTTCATGTGCCTATAATATCTTATATACTTGAATTAAATAAATGTTTTTACAATAATTTTTGTTAACATAAATTAAATAATTAAAACTTTACTGTTACAAATTACAGTTTTTTTTAATTCGCGTTTTGTAACAAAAAAATTTAAAAAATATTGAAATCAGTGAAGTAGGTAACCATATACGATATACCTGAAAATGTAAAAATAATGTACTTGTTTTGTCTTGATTATAACTTGTAACTTAAATTATATTAGTACTTATTGTCTTGATTTTTATTAATTATTATATTTATTATTTAAACTAAAAATTTAACTAACTCTGAAACATTATATATATGTTATACATTAGTACACTTACTCCTAATAACATAAAAATATGTAAATTAAGACTTTAGACATATCATACTTTTTATACTAACTATATTGACGCCAGACGAAAACACATACGATACTAACAAACGAATTGACAACAATTAACCGTGTCCGACGTATTCCTTATAGATTAACTATATTTTTCACAATACATAAATAATTGGGAAAATAAATGGTAGATAGATTATATAATTATTTATATTAAATAATTTTAATCTATTTTTTTCAATTTCTAGAAAATTAATATAAAATATTGTATAATACTTTTAAAATATTATTCTCTATATAACAAAATATGCAAAGTAAAAATTATTGCTTTTATACTTCTAGACTCTAGTACTAAGAAACAAAGTTCTATATTACTTAGCTATGTTTTGAATGATTATTGAAAAACATTCAAAATCCTTTAATTTCTTAACCTCGTAGTAATTACCATATAAATATTATTATGATATACCTAGTAAACATTTATAGGTAGTATAGATTATTTTTCTTCTTATTTGTTCTTATATTTTTATGAAGAAAACATTTAGTTATAAGTTTTCAACATTGATTAACGTTGTTTTTGCATATTCTACAATATTAATATATATATATATATACATATATAAATTAACAAATATCCTAAATTAAAATCATAATTGTGTTATATTTGTAGTATATTTAAATAATTCAGTATTATAATTAATTATACTCAGGTTGAAGAAATTAATTTTAATTGATATCAAAAATCATGATTAAATTATCCAACTAAATTTTAAAATCAATTAAATATTGGTAGAGTGAAAATTAAAATGCTTCTTATATTTTTAAATAATATTTATTTTTTATTTAAACATACTATTTATTTATTACAATATTTTAACAAAAAAAAAACTAAATTCAATGACCCCGCTAACAAAGCGACCAACATATTTAATTTATCTACACACCAGTGCATACTTTAAACAGTGCTTCTGTTGTTACTGTTTAGTTAATAATATGTCCTTCAATATTATTAATTTACTATTTACTATTTTTTTCACTTTGAAACATTATGCCTAATATATTTTGTATTTTTAAGTTAATAAAATTAACCTTAATATGCTTATATGATAACTATACACAACCAACGTATTCCATTTTAAAAATGAAAAAAAGAGAACAATTAAAATTTAAAATTATATAATTCAACAATAAGCCAAGGATTAAAAATATAGACAACATATGGATAGATAGACTAGAGCTAACTTAATCAATTAAATAAATATACCTAATAGAACTAAATGAAATTTTGTCAGCAAATCTATTTTTGATTTTTAATATCTATAAACAAAGTGTGCACAAAATTTGAATTATAATGTATTTCATATGTATAATTAAAGACTTAAATATACTTTTGTAAAATAGATTCTTCTAAAAAAATGTATTATAAAATTTAGAATAACTAATAAGCATAGAGAACTTGTAATACAAGAATGTAACTCATAGTGGTGTGGGCACGTGGCGATGGTATGATCAAAAGGGATATTCGCTTATGTTCTAAGTTATATTATACGCACATAAAAGCTTAAAAGTTTAAATGGTAATTTTTAAATTCATAATTTTATAAAAAATCATAACAGAGATGTTCTCAGCTATTAATCTGACAAAATAATAATTGAATAAACTAGAAACTCGCTTCACTGTATTCTGTTGTTCCTATAGCAGATTACCTCGTCATTAAATAATTATAACTGTATAGATGTTTTGTAAATTAGTTAAATTGAAAAAAAAACTTGTAGTAAATGCAATTGTAGAATAAATAATTTAAATAATACTTAATTTTTTATTTTTAAATGATTATTGTATATAAAAAAAATTATTTTTTTTTATTGTTATTAATTTATGTTGTTAATTATTACTCATTACGTTTATGTTTATTATTAACAAAATGTTTCAAGTCTCTACGATTAACATTTCTCGAATAAAAACAAAATAAATCACTTAAATTATCAGAGGAAAATATCGTTATTTTTTATTTAATTATACGTTCAATTTACGTACTAAATGTGTATAAATCATTATGATTTAATATATTTTGAAGTATATCTATAGAAATCTATGGCGTAAAAAATTGCATAACTAAAAAACTTTAAAACAAATATCATAGGTATTAGGTATACATTTATACGATCAAAATAACAGTTTTGAAATATTTTAAGATTTCAGGATGTACGATAGTCAATAGAAAGACTTGTGAAAATGCGACCTCTCGCGGCTCAACATTCGTGAATACGAAATATCTTATTCTTGGCAGATAGCGCTTTCAAGAAATTTCCATTAATACACACATAATCGTCGCTAAACGAAGGATAGTCGGCATGGGCAGTCTTGAAATCGCTAATTTCGTAGCCAGAGCTGCTCCGGTATTAAGGATTGTGTTACTGTAGCTTGAATTTAAACCGACCAGAAATGACTCCTGATCACTGTATGTTGCATCCTCGGGACACGAATATCACGCAGTCATGTACCCGGATACTGTCACATAAGCACCGTTGAATTTAATTAGAATTGGTCCTGGTAGTCACCATCATCGGTGATGGTTAGAGAACCAGGATCCTCAACCTAACCGCGTATCTCGTCCGACAACGGGCGGTGATTAAGCGCGTTTCCACGTCCTGGCTGTGCTCACGTGATGTTGATCGTAGAGCATTTCTAATTTGCTCACATCTCCGTCACCTCCCCACTGACAGTTATGTGGAAACCGTGCGTGGTGGTTATTAATTCCCCCCCAACGTTGGCACCCGGTTGAGTCACTTAGTTGGCGACGCGTCGGTTAGTCCGATTCTTAGCCATGTGTGTACCACTGTCGGGTTGGGTCAACGATAGAGTAACTTATTCGCGCCTCGGTAACACTACTGTAGCCAAGTTATCTGCAGTAGTAATCCGGCGAGGCGTACACATATAATTAAACTAAACTTCTCGGCACTCTGAAGATATTTTAAATTTGTTTACTTTCATTTTAAGGATTGCCTTAAGCCCTTAAATCATTCAATACAAAATTATTTGATAATCAAGACTCCAAGGGTAATTCTATTTTTAGCAGTTTAAATATTAAACAATACATTTCATTTATGATAAATATATAACTCTAATTTAATTATTAATTATCAAATGACATCTAGTTGTTAGTTAACCAACTACAACATTTTTTTTTTAAGTCAAAATATACAATCTATATCAGATTATATAATAAGTACATATGATAAGAAACAAATAACATGATCATTCAAAAATTTAAACATTGAATAAAGAAGCCACTCAATAATGATACTTCAATATTGGTTTAAAAAAAAGAATTGTGAAATTAATATTTATTTAGACATGTTTTTTTTTATATTACAATTTGTAAAAGGTCTTGCACCTTTTAAATTTTAAGCATCTAGAACTGCTGGAGATTGTGAGGGAGGAAAGGTTTTTAATTAAAGGGTTTGAGTGGGAAGAAAGTAGGTTGTGGAATCTTTTGTAAAAGTGGTTTCTTCGTGGATTGTTTTTAATTTCAGGTTTGTGTGGAGAGTATAGTTAAATATGTATGGGTTGGCATTTATTAATTTTCTTAGCGCTATGTTTTGAAAAGATTGAATTTTATTTAAAATTATCTTTTTTGCACTTCTCATTAGTTGTATGCTATAAGTCCAGATTGGTTTCAGTAAGGTTTTTTAGATGAGGAATTTGATATCAGAGGAGGTATGTTTATTAGAAATTAAAGGTTTGAGAATATGAAAACGGTTATTTAATGATGGCCTCTTTGCTCTAATATAGTGGGCCCATGTTAATCCTTTATCTAAAGCTACAATATTAAAATATAATATTAGTGGTCCTATGCATTTTAGAGCTGTTAAAAAAAATATAAATTTTTTTTTTCAAATGTTTCTTTTGTTCAGGTAAATATTATTTAATAAAATAAACCAAAAATCATAGAACTAAAAATAAAAAATAATACTTGAAAATACAGTTATGATGCTAAACAAATTATTTTCATAGTAGTGTTTAAAATTTAAATACAGTATATATATTCTTTAAATTTAAGCTGTGATTTTAAAGTACATTCACAAGTACCTATTAATAAATTGAAAATGTATTACCTAATAAGATTTTAAAATTACTAAGTGAAGTATTCAATAATTTAAGAAGATACAATAATAGAATATAACCACTGAAAACTGAAATCTTTATTCACGATTATTTAATTTATGAACTATAATTAGATTACAATTCAAAATACAATATAAATCAATACAGTAGCTGATAGAACATAATAAGCAATGTTTTTAATTATTCAAGGTGTTATAATTTATAAACTTTTAATTTAATGTCACAATGATTTAATTTATAAATATAATTTAATAACAATATCAACATTTAGGAATAAAAATAAAACAATATTTAAAAAAATTTTCACAGTAATATTCTGCTTAGGTACATGTTTAATAAAAACTATCAATTAATAATCCAGAACTAATTAAGTAATTTAATTTTTATCAGATGAAATTAATAGTACATAGTCAATGGTTCCATTTATTTCTTTGAGATGCTTCGTCTGTTAGAGGAACATAAATCACATCCATTAGTTTTTTCCTGGATAATGAGCCATCCAATTTTTTATCAATCACTTCTAACACTTGGTCTCCATTTTGTGGCCCAATTGGTAATACAAGACGTCCACCAGGTTTTAGTTGATCAATTAACTAATAGAATACAACACATATTATTCAAAATAAAATAATACATTTAAATTTTCTGTAATTAAAACATGAAAATATAAGTTATAATATACATACATATATAGATGTATTTCAAAAAGTTAATAAACTAATTTAAATAAATAGTAAAATACCAAAACAGCAATAATTATCCAACATAAATTATTTTGAGACATGCTTCCTAATATAAATGTGTTTTCGGGGTATGCAAGATATGAATTTGCATACTATGGGCACTCATTTTTTAGATGAAAAATAATCTTAGTCTTAAAATAACACTTTTAAAGAATAAAAATAACAAATGTAAATACAATAGTGAATAAATATCTATTACTTAATTATGTAATGAGAAATATGAAATTACATCCTTTTTAATAAATGTCTATAAAAATATGTACTATATTTCAACAAATAAAAATGTTAAAAATCTAATATTTTAATTTGAGTATTATAAAATATAAAAACAATAACCTAACTATCCTATGTAATAAAATAAGATGATAGTTAATTATTATTTGCTATTTAAATGTATATCAAAAGGTTATGTCAATGTATCAGATTATTAATTCAAAAACTAAAATATGAACACCTATTTTTTCCATGAAAAAAATTCATACAAATAAAAGGAGAAGCATAATACCAATGCTAAACAATAAGTATGATAAGAAACACATTATTTTAAAGAGTTAATTTTACAATTAATATGTTTTTTTAAATATTTTTATGATCAAATATCAACCAATAGAGATATTAATTATTTATTATTTACCGGTTGCGGAATTTTTTCAGCTGCAGCTCCAACATGTATTGCATTATATGGTGCATATTTTTCTAACCCTAGTCGTCCATCTCCAGCTGTAACAATTATATACTTTGATTAAATTTATAATTACAATATTGAAATGTATTCTAATATTTTACTTTCTAAAATCACTTTCTGGGAATTCAATAGTTCAGGATTATCTTTTTTAACATTTTCTAAAGATTTTTCAACAAGCTCAGGAATATGATCAATGCCAACAGCTTTACCATTTTCTCCTAACATAATAGCCATACAAACAGTTAAATATCCAGATCCAGAACCAATATCCAAGGCTCGTTCTCCTTCTACTAATTGGTCTTTCAATAGTTCCAAAGCATATGCATGCTAAAATAAAATAGGTAATAAATAAAATCATTTAAGTAATTACATGAACATAATATTAATAAATGAATAAATTATTTTAAATTTTATAGCTATAAGTATATAAAATTTAAAATAATATCTATATTTTCTATATATAACAAGATGTTTTTGTATTAATAATTCCCTGGTTTTATCAATACTAAAATAAAAAAATTGACATCTTGGCCTATATTGAGCATTTATTATAGAGATTGTTGAAAGTAATACAACTTCAATATTCTTTCAGAACTATTTAAAGTTAAATCATACACATAATATGTCTTATATAATACCATATGAGGTGCGCTGATTGTAACTCCATACCCAATACTTTGTGGTTGATCTAAATATGGTGAAGTTGATACATAATTTCCTCTATCAACAGCTTTCATTATTTTTTCTACTTTATCACTTTTAATTACATTGTTAGCTAAAAAAAAATAAAAAATTTAAGACATAATTAACATTTGTTGGTTAGTGAATAATACAAATTAAAATAGTAGAAATGTTTTAAATTTATACTCTATCTAGAACAAGAGCACATATTTGCACAAGCAAAGATGATGAGTAGGAGAGTAGAAACAGTTATGTGTACAATTTATGTCCAATGTCTAGTATAATATTATTTTGAATAGAATAAAATTAGCAAAATATTTTAAATAATCAACATTATTTTATATAATTAATATTGCCAGTATTTTAACCAAAAATATTATATCATAACTTCTATACCCTGTTGTTTGTTTAAATTTTAAATTCTTTAAGGATGATCGTAAAGTTGAGAGATTAAACAGATTATTTTTATTATTTCTTTAAAAATATAAGTATAAAATAAAATTATAAAATTGACCAAGTAACATGAAATTATGAATAATACAAAACATTTAAGAATTAAAAACATAATTTAATTTGAAAATGAATCAAGACAATTTTAATAGTATGATAAACTAAATAAAAATAACATAACTGGTTTCATTAATAAATCTTAACAATCTTATAATTAATGACAATTATTATTTACCTCGCAAATTTTGTACAAGTTCAATATTATTTCGTCCGTGAGATCTCCAAGCCATTTGGAGCTCTTTTGAATTTCAGTGTTCCTAGTTTTAGAATCCAAACACTACGTCTAATGCTCTAGTATCAGGTTGTATTATTACTTTTGAACCTATAAACAATTTTTAAAATATCGTGTAAAATCAGTCATGAAACTAACTTACCAATGTGACGTAGAACGATATGTTTTACAAGCGATGCACCACAAATCAAGATTATTAATTTTAAATCGTTCGATATGGTGCAGAACAGCTGCAATATGCTAGCCTGTGTGTACTAAATACTAATTCAGTATCTAAGTGACAATGTAGTTAAGTAATGTTGTATGCACTAATGTTTAATAGAACATAAACATTAAAATTATTTAATAATATTAGTACTATGTTTTAATTTTTAAAGATTTAATTGATCACTGAATATATGTTTAGTACAAAGTCTTTACTCCTTAGTCTTTAGTATTTAGTATTTACATTTTAATTTTTACCACAATTTAAAACACATAATCAAAAATATTAATATAATTTGTGGTTTACAATGTTTACATAGATAATGTACACATTGATAAGACTTAAATGTGAAGAGACGTGTGCATAGAATAGAATATATGTTACCACAATTACACATAGGTTATATTCGGTTATGATTTGTGGTAATCGCAATTATCAACTTTAATAATAATTAATGATTCTTAGTAAAATTGTATTAAATATAAATAAAAAATAAAATATATGATAGTTAAAAATTATTTCATATGCCATGTAGAAAAACATAACTGGTTTAAAAAAAAAAAAATGATTTTAGTAAGTTTTAACTTAATTTTTGATTCTTCATATTTATTTTTTAGATTTTAATAGAAGCGATAAAAATGTTGGTAAGTACATAGATTTTTTACTAATTTTTTGATAATTGATTTGTTTTTATATATATGAAAAAAACAATAAATAATAAAAATAATGAATTGATTATCAACTTTAAGAGTAGGTATTTAATATTTTGACTCTTTTTAACTATAAATAAACATTTAAAATCTTACATTTTTTTAGTTCTATAAATAACGATTAAACGTTTTTTGCTAGGTCAAAAAACTTGAAAATTGAATTTAAAGCCTCCCATTAATTGTTTATATATATATAAATTCAAAATACATTTTCATAACAATTTGATAAGCATTTAAAGTTCAAATTTTAATAAAATTTATCAATTTTACAAGCTCATATTTCATAAAAAAAATTGTTAATTGTTAAAAGCAAAATTCCAAAAAAAAAAAATTATATTATTAAAGACACGTATAAATATGTAGTTAAAAGTATGTTCTTATTATCTTATTATGAAGTATACCTAAATTAAGTTTAATGATATTAAGTACCTATGCTATATTATAATATTGTAATGAATATTATGATTTATAGCCCCCTTCCTAATCAAGTCCTTAGAACTATCCCTACAGTACAAAGTTACTCATGAGTAGCTTATACGAAAACAAAAAATATATATTAAAGCATAATTTTCTTATAATCAAACAATTTAAGTTGAAATTCGAATGATATTATAAATTTAAATTGGGAATAACGATGTTCATTAATTTTTATAGTTCAAAAACATTTGTGAGGGCATATAACTTTTATGTATACTATTATTATATTTCATATAAATTATTAAGTACACAATGTTATTTTCAAATGCAATGTTTTTGGCAAAAATCAATTTGACTTACTCTATTACTAATAATAAAATTAATTATTTTACTTAATATATATTATCTACATCAAAAAACAATATGGCACATTCTTAGTAACATGCTGGTACCTAGATCGTCTCTACTCTTCACTCAAAATCGTTTTTCCTAGATATACTCGTACAATGATACACCATTGAATTCAAATTAACACATCCATCACACTAGGTATCGCAGTGAACCAATCGATACCGATAACACCTACCATTCAATAGAGTGGTATTTTAATGTGTGCATAAATAATTAATGAATTGATCAAAATTTATTTTGTCGAAAGCTAATCTTACGTTTTTTTCAAATTTATTTTAATTGTTTGTTTTTCTCGTTATTTTGAAAAAAAACTGGACATTTTTTATTTTTACCTTTTAAATTTATAAATTAGATTACATTTTTTATTAGAATCTACCCCCAGAGTAAAAAAATCAAAAATCAATGTATACTTGCCACTGGTACACTGTACAATGTACATATGTAAACAACAAGTACACTATACTATGTAGTTTGTATAGTTGTAAAAGTTACACTATTCACTTAACAATTAACATGTTAAGTGCAATGTTTACTTAAATACTTGTGTCATATGTACAGTGAATCTAAACACTTAATTGAATTAAGGTTTACTCAATACACATAAGCAATACGTACATACTATATACGGTTTATCCCTTCTAAAAACAATATTCAAGGTCATTTAGGCAGCACACGCGCATATTATGTCTCCCAGTAGGTAATCGAACATTTTCTCGCTACCTTTTCATTGGCGATGCCATATTTTTTTCTATATTGCAGACTTCACTATTCATCATACTGGTATTTCTCAACTATATTCTGAGCATAAGTAATGCTAGGTAATTATTTTTATTATTTAACTTGAAGGTAACGACATAATCTGTAGTTTGTTGGAATTTTTATTTAAATATATTAAACTTGAAACGAATTAGAAGCGCGTGTATAGTTTTACAATTTCAATATCGAAAAAGCTCCTAACGAACAACATAATGTTGATATCTTTAAGTAAAATTACTTTTATATTTAAACTAACAAAACTAAATAAGACCTGTTAAAATATTTTGTTATTTTATTACCTGTTATGATAATGAAATACAACATACTTAGGTGATTCAAATTTTTGTTAAAAATATTTTGTTGTAGAACGTTACTACCATGATTTTTTTAAGATATAAAATATGGGTTAAAAATTAATTATTTATGTTAGTATAATCAAGTATTTTTTTTAAATATTATTTAAAATATAAAATATTACTATATTGTTTATTTTATATTTAATTCCTTTAACATATGATTGTTTCGAATTTATATTGCTAATATTTTAAAACTATAATGTATTATCCAACTATCAATAGAAATAAGAAATAAATTGGACTGATAGATTGGATCTCGACAATCGACGTTATTATGGTCAATGAGTAATGACTAATGACCATGTCTCATAGCTTAAAATCATTATCGGATTCTCATATCTTTCTTTAGATCTATTAAATTGTTTGCTTAAAAATAATGACATGACTTCCAGGTATGGAATTTAAAATGTTATTGATATTATTGGCGCCAAAACCTATTTTCGGATCTTAGGGACATAATAACTTGTAGAAATTGTGGGTTGATTATATGAAAAAAAAACTGGATTATATATATCATATAATATGTGGCAATGATAAAAAAAATATTTCACAAGACTAGTTTTAATTACCTTCCATTGATGGTGCGCATTATTATGTGTAATAGTTATATAATTATATATTATATGTTTAACTATTCAAGTTTTGAACCAATTGGGCTCGTAAGTTTTTTATTTAGACAGATAATAGTGATAATACTTACCTATATATTTTTATTTTCTGGAACTATTTTATAAGACAGACTACTGTTGCTATGGCGTACAGTATTTAGGTACAATAAGCCTCTTATAGAAGTGCAGCCTTGTAACTGACGATAATTTAATAAATAGGTTACGGTCTATAGTTCAAATGTCTTTTTTTTCCAAACAAAACATTTTTTGTATGAACTTTGCAAAGTTAACATTTTATAATGATTTTTAAACTTAAAATAAAGTAATCATTACTGTTTTATATTTTGTAAATATTATAATCTTTACTATAAATGAACAGATCATTTATCAGTGCAGAACGTCAGCCATGCATATCAATAATATTATAATGAACTTCAATAATAACAGTAAAGTGGTTGTGTCATTTTAAATTTTTTTTGTCAGTATCTAATTTATTGTTTATAGTTTTACAAACATATATTTATGTTTAAATTATATTTTACTTATTAAATGTATATTTTTTATTTTAATAATTCACAAAAGCTCCTATATATATTATTTACATTTATATGAGTGTTATTTAATTTTTTAGGCTATGAAATGAATGTTAAAATAAATGAATAATAAAATTATTCTGAAAAACTCAGATTATTATATACTCCTGAAAAATTTATGAATTTTCTGCGACATGTCATACGTTGATGTGCTTCAAAATTGTGAGTATTCAGCATTATAGTAATACAATAATTATGTCTTGATGCTTTTTATATAATTATAATTTATACCATTCGTAAGAAACAATTTAAGTCTTAATTTATGAAAACTCGTTTTAACTTTTAGTTAATGTATGTATTCATTTTTTTTTTTTTTTTAGAAATAGGATAGGTATATTAATAATTTAAAAAATGATTCAAGATTTAATTGTAATTTCAAGTTTCACTATACGAGTATATAAATACAATTAACTTTAATTGATTCAAATAACAACTAAAATAAATAATTGAATTCACAAGACTGAAATTATACACGGTATTCAGTAATAATATTCCAATAAATATATTATAAATATATTGCATTAAATTATAATCAAATATCTCTAGTGAATAAGTGATACTTTCTCATTACATCTGGACTTGTTGATATATTGCTTTTATGTAGTACTAAGAATATATTTTGTAAACCGATTCAGCTATCTACAAGCTCGTTTTTAAAACTTAGAACAGATTCAAAACAATAATAAATTAAAAATTTAATTTAGACATGTAGTCTAGAAATTATTTTATAAGTTTTTATTAATGAATAAATAATTTGTAATTAATGCAAGACTAATATAAAAACTTATTTTCGAACAAATTCGTTAACATTTTATTTTTTTATACAATACTATAATGTGATTAAATAATTAAAGTATTTAATTTTGAATTGAGACACGTATATCAAGTGTGAATTTGTTATTATAATTTGTAATTATATATTATTGAAACAATTATATTCTACACATATTGGTTAAAATATTTGGTTATATTTTATGAGACATGTGTAAATAGGTACCTTATATTCCAATATTTTTATTTATTGCGATTGAACCATTTAAAAATTCCTATATTGAATATTTAAATTACCTCTATTATAGTAATTATAGGTACTCTTATGAGTTATGATTTACGAATATGAATATTTTTATAACTTTTCTTTATAACGTTTCTACTATTTCAAATGATTTATCAGTGATACAGCTTTTATTTTATAATTGCATTATATACCAAATAGCAGATATAGAGTAACTAATTAGTTAATAATTATACTAAAATATTTCAATTGATTACATTTTTCAATTAACAAATTATTTCGTTTTCATTAATAATGATATAATTATATTATAATTAATATAAGAAAATTCTTTTTGGATTTTGGTTAACTATTAGTCCTATATAGTATATAATATTAATCAATATAAATATATTA